CTAATGGTCTCTCTCTCTCTCTCTCTCGACATTCATTGATTAATTAACCCTTCATTTCAGAGACCAATGATAATTTGGTTATCGCACACAAACCCATTGTATGCCGTTGTCATATAAAGAGAGCAGCGATTAAACGATACGTTAAATTTCGTGATGTATGGCTTAAAAACAATGATCTTAGCGTTTGGTTAGCAAAAAAAGATGATTCCACCGCTAATTGTCGTGTTTGTGGCACTCATTTCACAATTAAATACGAAGGCATCGCTGCGTGCTATCGACACAACAGGTCGGCTAAGCATAAAGAACGGGTTAAGTCGACAATCAATAAGTAGTTTTGTGACACAATTTGTTGTTTATTGTATTGCATACTATTTAAACACAATTTATAAACTCATTGTAAGCATGCATTTAATTTTTAATCGTGTATAACATTGTTTCAATAATTACACTTTAATTTTGAATTAAAATTGTCAATTGAATAGAACTTATTCACACTTTATAAACTCAATGTAAACAAACATTTTATTTTGTGAATTAATTAAACTTGAAATTTTATTCATTCAAATACTTGCTATAAATATAATTCAATTTTAGAAATAAAATAGTTTATGTTTATTAAATAAATGCATTTCACAAACAAAAACTAATAACACTATTAATGAAAATAATTCAATGAATTGTGTGTTAAATACGAGTGAAATGAATGGCAAACGAGTGTCAAGTGATAAATGTATACAAAGTATTGAAACAATTGATAAACAAGTAATGATTTGTGTCAAAGTCTCTTCGTGTCGACGCGCGCTCTCGTCGTACTTCTGGAGCTCTTCGGTCTTCTGGGCGTACAATGCGTTCATCGCTGACTGACGCGACTGTCTGTCCAGCGCCTGGCGTTTGGAGAGAGAGAGAGAGAGAGAGAGAGAGACCATTAGTACAACACCACTACAAACACACACAACAGGTGTATATACTGTACACAACAGTCAACACCTTCGCAGATACGACTAGTGTTGTTAGTTCTGTCATATGACGTCATATAACACTTTACATTACAGTTATATGACATGTAAAGTGTAATATAAAAATTTTATATTACAAAAAGTGTAATATAACTCTGACGCCATCTATTGACTAGGCAATTATTATATTGTAATTAACGCTATTATTTTAAAAGTTAATTGAAACACAATTGAAATAGCCCTATATAAGTGTGTTTCTATCATCTATTGGCAATACAAGTAGTAAATGTATTGTAAATTTAGCCATAATTTCTAAGTTGGCATTATTCAAGCAAAATGTGTATTTTCTATATTACACTATGTGACGTTATATGACGTCATATGACTGTAACATGTAATATAAAATTCTATATTACATGTAATTTACATCACT